ACATTTGACTGATATCATACTCAGGATTTGGGGGGACCTAATTTGTTGAGATTTTCGGGGCTCCCAGCATAGGTGCTTGCTGAGTACCCTCCTGCAAGTGGGTTACTTCATGTACTGGCTCCGGCAGGCGTGTTTCCTCCATAAGGAGTTCTTCAGCCACTTCTCCCCATTTGCGCATTGTTTTTAAACTGCAAATCAATAGGCAAATAAGCAAACCAAAAATCAAGCCCTGACCCTCTGTTATGGGCATTCAAAGGGGAACCATTAGCTCTGGCCCCAGCACAGCAGTCTCTGGCCTTTCGCTGTGGCAAGCTGCTTTATTCACAGCTGGCTTCTCTCTAAATTGTTCCTTCACTGTCCTCCTCTGCTCTCCTCTCTGGGTTTTTAAGCTCTCAGTGAGTCACGCTTTTATTAGCAGCTTCCCCACAGCTACAGCTACTCAACAGGGCTCACTGTTCCCTTTTAAGGGGACAGACCACCCTGTCTCACCTTAATTCCCGATGAAGCAAGTGACAGATCAGTGTGCCCGGGCAGCTTTAGACTGGCTGATTAAGTGCATTGTAAAGAGCTTTTTATATAATAGACTCTTTTAGGAGTTGGAGAGAAGCTGTGTATGTGTAGGTGCATGCGTATTACTGCAGAAGGAAGCACAAGATGTTATTACCCCAAGGGTGACTTTGGGATAATACAAGACTTTGAAAAGAGCTGAGGCACTTCCATGTCCAGCTGAAATCAGTAGGGGCCATGAACCTCTGCCCTATATGATTTCTTGAGAAACCTTACTCTGAGTTACTAACAGGTTGTAGGGATAGGACTCTCTGCATGTCTTGTCCAATTAAAGCTCGAAGGAAACCTGCATTTCAAAGTGGATGCCTTTTGTGGGGCATGGATAATTGGGCGCACATGTCATAATATGATTCAGTTAGTGAATGTATGAGGTTTGAAACCTACAGTGGCTTTCTACTGGAAACATTCGCTTCTTTTGTTGTACAAATATCGACGTTATCGCCTTAGAAATGTCAGAGGTTTGTTTTACTCTTGACGTGACTCCTAATTTTCTCCTCCCTTTGAAAGAATGATACATTTGACTTCCCCTCTTTAGCCTCCCATGTTATGTTACCGTTGTGCTAGGAATGACCTTTAAAATGTTTTATGGCACTTTGGCATTTTCCATGACACTTTATTGGATGCCTTAATGTTACAAACTGGGAGCTGGTATACAGAGAGCATTTCTAATCATTGCTTTGTAAATAGTATGGCGCTATCGATCTGTCTCGCGTATGCCTATCCATTGATTAGGTAATGTGGAACAAACCCCTCTGAATTAGCCGAGCAGAAGAGAGCTCCACCGTGCTATGCTATTTACAGCAGCAGCAGACATCCAGGCTCCACATTTTATATCAAGGATTATTTATGGTATTCCAGTAATACTGAAACCTTACTAATTTTGCATCTTGGGATAGTAGCCTTTTCGAGAGCGTCTGAATTATGAGATAAAAAGCCTGTCACAAAACAGTTGTTGAAATTCATAATGCAATCAGGGATCCTGATCATCTCAAAGGCATTAATAGCTTGCTTCTAAAACTAAAAAAGAAAATTATAGCAGTGCAGTGTTATACATGAAAATTAGTTCTCATGCTGTAAAAGATGCAATATAAAAACCTATTGAAATTTATTAGGCCAAACCTTTAAGGTCTGCTTGATTTTATGAAAACACTTGTAAAAATACATGCATATATATGATTCCAAGTTTGGGTTTTTTTAGTTTCTTTTCTTGTGATCATCATCTGGTATTTTCCACTTGAATGTCCCATAGATAAATGGCCCAAGAAACTGTTACAAATCTCATCTCATGAAGCTGTGGGTGTATAATACACATTGTTAAAATAAGACTGCCTTTTAAGAAACGTATAAGGTTTTGTTCAATTTTTTAAAGCGAATGTATTATTGTTTAAAATCTCTGGAGTGGATTAGGTGTTCATGACAACTTCTGATGGCCCTGAGAAGTGAAGGCATGGTTTTTTGCATATCAGAGTCCAGGAACAATGCAGAAGCCCGTCAAAGACAACTTGTCTCTCCTCTTTAGATTATCTTACAAAGCTGTGGCCCTGTTTTTTGTTAGTACTTGTAGCCAAACTAGATTTTTTTTTTTCTTGAGAGGGATATTTAAAAAAATCTTAATTTGGGGCCATATTTTGTTTGGAGGTTTTCTAATCGGCTCTTGTGACCAGTTTGATCTTAGAAAGGAGGTAAGGCCACACGTTCAATTTAACGGAGCACTATCCAGCCATTCCCTGGTAATGACTAATTTCTTCTAGTTCAAAAGATTATCGATTCAAATATGAAAACCCATGAACTTCTCATCACACCTGACCTGGGTGAGGCTCTGAGCAGCCACCTGGAGGTGAACAGTTTTGTATCCAATTACAACTTCCCACAGCCATCTATTAACCTGGATGGGCAGATTTTAACTAGGTCCCTCTGAAGGTTAAGAGAAGTTTATGATGTAGAATGAATATTCATGAACATTAATTTAATTAATGGTTCAATCTAATCTGGGTAAACATGAGCGAGGAGACCCCAAATTAATTATACTGACAGTCATTCCATTTTAGAACAACAGTATAATGAGCCATATTGTGTCCCTCTTGATACAGCGTCCTTTATTATTTCAGTATCGCTAGATTTGAAAATTTCCTATTGTTATTACTTCTAGATCTATTAACTCTTCTGGCAATGAAATTCAAAATCATTTACATGGGAAGGGCCACCCTGCTTACTTTGGCTTTAAATATGCAGGAGATGATACATCCTCTCTTATCCGCCACAACGCTGCCTCAGTTTTATGGAGTTCAGAGAACCCAATGATCCAGGGAAGGATCACTGGGAGGGCTCAAAACACCTGTGAGGCGATCACAAAATGCTGCAGACCCAAGGAGAAAAATGCTTCAGTCCCCACTCAGTTTTCAGGTTAGGATGAACACTGAGATTTGAGTAGATTAACCTATGCATCAGATCATCTCTTCCTATGAAGAACCCTTGGCATATTACTAGAGTAGAAAATGGCTTTCCACAGCCCTGGCAGGGGATATAGAGCCCCCTGATCTGCAGGAGTCGTGTAATACCCAGTGAAGAAGTGGGTTTTATTTCCCCTACCCCCATGTTGCTACACAAGAAGGGGTTAATAAATGGACCCATGACCTTCCCAGCTATGACTAGAGGATTGGTTGATGACAATTGGCAGTCTAAACACAAAGGAGCATCCAGAGAGTGTGGGACCTGGTTGGCAGGGGTGTCCTGGCTTTAGGAACAACATGGGACGATACTAGGAAAGGTCAAGCTCAAGGGCGTATCAAGAGATAGCAAAGAGCATACCTCAGCTGCTGAGAGTGGGGTCTCTGGGAAGGAAGTCAGAGGAGAGGATGGGGGTTGTACCACCTCCTGCAGGAGAAGAAGTAGCAACCAGAGCAAAAGGAGAAAGGACAACTGGATTCCCAGTTGGAGAAGAGCTAAGGGTTAGGCGTGCCGCCTTCCAGGCTTCAAGTTGTGTTTGAGAGAAGAGAGACTTGAACTGATCAGAGCACGAGAAGTGCATAGTGACACAAATGCTGCTGTGCTATAATTGTTGCTTTGTACCATACGTCTTTGGAGAGAAAATATAGGAGCGCATCTTATACACAATTTATTACAATAACAAGGCAATAAATGTATGTAACAAACAAAGTAATTGAGTTTCCTCTAATCCAATTACAGAGGCAGGAGAATGCTGTCTTTTGCTTCTCCAGGCCTGCTCAATTAAATGTTTTGTAGTGTGAGCTGTACCAAAAACACCAGGAGATCTGGAGGTGCCTTCCAAAAATCTGGATCAGTTCTTGTACATACATCCAACATCACATCCTCCCCATCCATGCGCCTGGCAGCACTGAGCTGTGTAAACAAATTGTTGAGCGCTAACACTGTTAGGATAAAATGCCTTGTAAAAGATTTCTCAGTGTACATTAATATTAATGTTACTTTTTTCGTGTTTGTATTCCCCTCTCCCCCCATTTTGCCAAGATAAGAAATCTCCTGGAAAAAAAAAATAACGTCGAGATGCAGGATTCCATGCAAAATTAATTGTTATGACAACACCAGCATTTAACTGATCTCAGAAGGCTACCCCACTGCTTTTTTGAGTGATGTGCTGGAAGTCAACAAATAAATAGCACTGCATATCATTTAAATATACATCACTGCATCTGTTGTGGCTCTAATTCATATTGCGATCATTTAGAGGCAATAAATCTGATTGTTCGGGTTAGTGCTAGAGCTGCTGCAGAATAGTTGGACGGAAATAAATACCACGTATGTAAATCTGAAACAATGGAAAGAGGGGAATCAAGGAAAATATTGCAAGAAAATGGGCATGTTTGATTAAAAAGCAAATGAGGACAAACGCATCCGTCTTGGGGAAACCCTCAAAACAAAGCGATGAAGTGAATTTGAGCTGTGAATGCTGACAGACAAATTAAGTAATAAATGGGTTGAAAAGATTCATGTTACTTATCTTGATCTTGGGAAGCGGAGTACATAATTGTAATTGACCACAGTTTAACCCATTTGCAGTTCACTGTTGAGTGAACATTTTTAAGATGTGTAATTTCAGTTATAAAAGCAAAATGAGACGCATGTGCCACGGCTTGCCTCCGTGATATCTGAAGCATAAAATGCCTGCCTTCAACCTATAACCTCTTGAAAATGGAGCTAATGCAAATGAACATGGTGCCATTCATTAGCATGTCAATGGTGATTCTCTAGCATGGTGCCATTAAATTATTGTGGTGATAATTGAGACATTAAAAAGAGACAGATGCTAGGCCTGTTTCTAAGCTCTTATAACTCTTCAGCAATTAAATTTCAATGAGCTAACATAACTACACTATAGTGAGAATTAACAATTGGGAATATTTTTTCTTTAAGGTTGCATTTCCCCAGCTCAATTAACATATTATTGGGGCTAGATTTTTTTTTTCCAGGTCAGTTCCTGCCTGGTTTATGTTGCCTCAGGACAGAAAAGCAGGCGTGAAGCTGGTCTTTAAAGAGGCAGCGGAGAATTCCCCTATCCGAAGAGACTCCCTAGGTAATGCAGAGCAAGTGGGACCTCTGCCTTGGTTCCTAGGCAGGGAGGGGTGTCATCAGGGTGTGGTGTTGGCCGAAGGTGGGGTAAAGGGGGCACGGTGGCAGAGCATGCACAGAGGATCATGAGGGTGGAAAGAGAGCCTAGATCCACTTTATTTCCTTCTCTCTTCAGTGATGCCCAGAATCTGGCCCCAAGACTGCACGACTGAGAAAGCAGTAGGCTCTGCATTCAACACTGGAGCAGTGCTGCAGTCCCACACATCCTGTTTGCTGCTGCAGCTTTTATTTCAAAGGGGGTCACAAAATAATAGCTGTGCGCTAACCACCAGGCTACTATATAAGAAGCTGGGCATACCCAGTGCTTTCAATGCCTCCTCCAGCTGCATCTTTAAAAAAGACACAGTGGCTGCGTCTACATGAAACACTTTACTGTAGAGTAAACTAATCTACTGTGCAGTAAACCGCCACCATCTACACGTGCAGGTGCTTACTGCGCAGTAAATGAGTATACTGCTCAGTAAGTTTTACTGCCTGTAGTAAATTTACTGCGCAGTCAAGCCAAAATAGCATTAACTGCATGTGTAGATGTATCCAGTGAGCACTGTGTTGTGTGAAGGACCCAGTTCTCCTATTGGTGTATAAGGCACGCTTACTAGATAAAGCCTTTCTGCAAATGTAGACGCTCCTCTCTCTGGTTTCTGGTCTTTACTGGGGGAGGTGAGGTGTCCAGCTACTTAGGCCGGAGGCAGCTCCGGGCATCGAATCATAGAACTGTAGAGCTGAAAGGAACCTCAGAAGGTCCTATCCAGCTCCAACCCCAGCTTAAGTCAGGTTCATCCCTACACAAATAACCCCAGACAAGTGATCTAAACAACCAACCATGCTGCAAACCTTCAAGGCACCTGGCCCAAAGACACTGGGAACACCCTAACCTACCACAGGTTAACCAAGGGCATGAGAGCACTGTCGATGTCTTGCTTCTGCAGGGCTGTTAAGATTCAAGAGATCAAGGGGGAGAACCATGCATGCCCACAAGGTGCCTATGAAAATGTAATGTTAAAAAAGAGAGGTGCCTGTTTAAGTTGAGGCAGGGCTCAGGGTAGAGGGTCCAATTGCAATTTTGGACTTAGGCGAGGCTGGAAGTGCCTGAATTGCTCTATATCTGGCCCTAGGCCCTTTATATACTGCACTTGGACAAATTGGCACTGGACATGTTTTGAGACTGCTCTAGCTGAAAGTGAGTGTGAACATTGAATGATGGTGATACGGGGCATTAGCCAGGGGTGTCCCTACCTTGAGCATAGAATCGCAGAACAGTAAGACTGAAAGGGACCTCAGGAGCAGGGGGTTAAACAAGATGTGACCTCATGAGGTCCTTCACAGCTGTATTATTTTATGACATCCATGAAATTTCCACCAGCCATCCTCAGACAAGTCCCCATGTTCAGAAGAATCCTCCAGACCACCCAGGGAGTGCAGAGAGCTGAGGACTGATGCACCCTCTCCTACCAACCTTGCCTTCCCTACTTCCCTTTTGATTGTATGTAAGGATCAGTCCCAACCAGGCAGTTTTGAAACTGTACTTTATGTCTCACAAGTTTTGTATAACTTATGATGTATGCTATGGTAGAGCCATTTAAGCAGCTCCGTTACGTCTTCACTATATTGTAAAGTACTAAAGATCTGCCTGTTAAAACCTATGGACCTGCTCCTTAGTACTGGCTCAAGGCAGCATCGTCCTGTTGTCTCCATGGGAGCTATGCCCAGTTAGTAAGGCTGAGGATTGGGCCTTTTATGTATTCAGCAGTGACAGCATATGGTGTTTCACAAACCCGTGCTTCTGTATTTTAAAGACAGAGCGATCATTAGTAACTCTAAATGCATCACGGCATGGACTGAACTGTATATAATATGCCAACACCTGGATCAACAGGTGCTTGAAGGCACAGAAGATCATATGCCAAGGAGCCAGTTGGACCCTTTTTTTTGCTAAATGTTTGTGCAAAACAAGCAAGGCTGTTGGGTGAGAAAAACACAGCACCTGTGTTGAAGAATGAGGTGGGAGAAGTCTGTGCATTTTAAGTGAGGGTTTTGCTTAGCTCTGCTGGGAAGACTGAACATGGCATGATTTAAATATAAATAAGATACAAACTTTGGCAACACTGGGAAGCTGTTCATTTCTCTTCTGCAGCGTGTGGGGGGAGCAAAGACACATAAAGAAAAGCAGGAGGATTCAAGCAGCATGCCATTGCATCTATCTGGCACCCCACTCCAACCACATCTTTTCTTCCACCTCTAGGTGAAATTGCACCCTGCAGAGCAGAAAAACTGAGCAGCCTTTATGCTCCCTGTTAAAGATTTAACTGGCGTATAAAGACTTGCACAGCTCTTACCACGAGCAGCTCAATTGCATCCACTTGTGATCATATGTGTAAGTGTGTCCTGGAGAGTGGCATTGAGCTAAAATGGACGGAGTCTGAGATCAGCCTTTCTGTACTAATGCTCCCATAGTAAACTGTGTAGGCTGTACATTTGCTTAGTACTTGCTGCATTAAGTCCAAACTCCATGTTTCTGCCACTGTCATGTGGGTTGGATGTATGACAGCTGGCAGGTGACTGAATGGCCATTGCCCTGGCTGTGCTCCAAGTGGGGAAGTAAAGCCAGCACATGGAGCAGCAGGAACTCCCAGGTCTCAAGGGTCCATCTGAATGATGATCATCCCAGTGTAATTTGTGAGTGTTTTTTTTCCCCCTTTCTGGCAACTTTCTTCAGAAGTCTAGCCGGTTGGCGTCATGTCCCTGGGTAAAGTGCATTAGGTCACAGCTACTTTCAACTTGCTTTTAGAGGGATAGTGGTGCAGAGTGTGGCCTGATTGCCTGTCCTTTCCTTACAACAGCATCTCACACACAATTCCCCTATGGGTTCGTTTCCTCAAGCGTTGGAATTGTGGCATGGAAAGTAGAGAGGTTTGTGCTACTTGATATCTTTGGGCTTGGTAACATCTTAACTGAATCATTCACAGCTGCTGACCCTAAAGGATCTCTCTCTCTCTCTCTCTTTCTCTTGCTCTCTCTCATGTAGTACCATAGGGAGTGGATATTATTAATGTAGACAACACACTTTCATATTCCTGATCTCTAATGCCCTCAGTACTGCAGACAGTGGAAAGAGACAACTGATACCAAACATGTTGATTTTGTGTTACAGTCATATAAAAGGAATCCATTTTTGAGTGTCATTCTGAAAGGCCTTATTGTAAGATACTTTTATCCCCAGTCATGCACTGTGAAATGTTTGCAAGGAAAGATTTTTCAGCTGAAGTTGATGTGGATGATTATAACTATAGGTATCAGCCCTACACACACATGTATACTTAATATATTACTCTGGGTAGCCCATCTTCTCGTGAAAGAACTGTTAAATAAATGCCTTTTGCTAAGAAGGAAATCACTCCAAATGTAACTCGAATTCAAATCTACCTCCAGCTGTTACTTCAGCTACTATAGCCTGAGACTCGAGATTCCTGTCATTCAACCTGTCTGGGGTCAGTACATCCTCACCGCCGCTCCTTTGACCCTAATAAAGCCAGAAGCAGTGTTTCTTGACACAGCAGGTTACCCTACTGGAGCATTGCACTATTTGTGCTTCAGCATCTCGGTCTGAAGGCACTACACATCTTGTATGAGTCACGACCCAGCTGAAAAGCTGTTGTATATCTGGCAGTGCATTCATTAGTGGGTCATTCTCTACGAACTTTCAGATGGTGGACTCATGTATTGCAAGATTTTCCAGCCAAATTCACTGCTAGCCCAAGCTTGTAGAACTTAATTGAATTGCTTGGGTCTCCTTACATCTCTAAGCCTGTGAAGACCAGTCAGGGATTTTCAGCTTGCTGCTTGCATTGGCCATCTTACTAGAACATGTCCAGCAACTGCATTAAGCCCGTGGAGCTAGGGATTGAAGTTGCACAGAAATTGGTATAATGGGTCAGAGACTGGTTCAAATCTGTAACACAACAGAAGTTCAATGCGCATAAACTGCTTTCACAATGGCTGAAACCAGTTTAAAGTGAACCTGGATGGATGTAGTATTAGATTGAACTGATTTAGGGTAAATTGGTTTATTGAACTTCTGTCCGAGATCCCCTCCAAATTCAAGATGACTCATAGTCCCCCAGCATCCCAGGATGCTTTGCACCTCCCTCCCCTTACAGGGGGGGAAGGCTAACCATGACCCAAGCTGTCTGCTCCAGCCAAACAGGGAGGCATGCTCTAGTGCCCCCCAGCTTCTAGCCTGGGTCACTGCAGGCACGTGACTGCATTTCCAGAATCAAAAGTGAATGACTGTTCACTTTCTTTTCAGTTCAATCTACGCAGCTTAGAGTCCAGGGGTAGGAAAAATGCAGCCTGCGGGCCGGATGCAGCCTGCCAGGCCATTCTATCCAGCCCATGGGGCCCCTAAAAATGTAGAAAATGAATAGTTATCTGCCCCTGGCTACCTGTCATGTGACCCTCGATGGCTTGCCAAAACTCAGGAAGCGGCCCTCCACCCGAAATAATTGCTCGCCCCTGGTTTAGACTAACCTGCAGTTTGAAAAGATTCATCCTCAGGCTTTTTTGATTGTCAGTACTTATAGAAGTCCATACGGGATGTGTTTAATTCCAGCTTCACTTACCAGGTTAATAATCTGGGAGGAATGAGACCCACCTTTCCATGGAGCTTTCCCTCAGTATCTTCAAGTTGATGATTTGCTGAAAGATCACCTGAACATATATGCAATTCCACCTGTTTTCATTTGTTTGCAGAATTATGATAGATGCTTCCTTTGCTGGGGAAACCAAATTACTGACTTAGCAATGACTACATCTAAGCTTCCGAGGCTGTGCAGTTTGAAGATACCACACTAATTCCCACAGAAGCTTAAGTGTCCTTGGACAGTAATTTTGACAAGATACATCTTGATGAAATAGATGTTCCCCTCCCCTCTGGCTGCGTAACAAAAAACAAGTGGCAGCTGTTTCTGCAGACCATAAAAGTGTCCCATATACAGAAAACAAAAAGGATGCAAATACTTGGCAGCCCCAAACTGTTGAATATCCCCACACATAAGTCATGTTTGTGGACAGAGACAGGTCATTTATTTCAATATTTTTTAATTTCCTGATCTTGTTTCAAAGAAATGTTAAAGCTCATGAATATCTAGTAAATGCGTACAAATAAGACTCAAT